CCATGCTGGCTGGGGAATTCTGGGAGTTGAAGTCCACACATCTTCAAGTTGCCAAGGTTGACAAACACTGATATAGACAATGTATGTGGGTATGTATGTTGCATTCATTGTCAGCCCAACGAGGTAGATCAGAGGAAGAAATCACTGCCATATAGGTCAGGACTACTTTTATTGTAAAGCTATAATAACAGAATCTTGAAAGCCTGAATGTGCTTCTCCCTCATTTTATCTCCGTGTGAACTAGAGAGGGGCTTGCCTGAGACATTTTCTCGCGTTACCTGCTTAGCCTGGGCTCAATGCTCTCTTATCTGACCACTGCCTTGGTAGCTGCTCTTCCTCCTGTCCTTCAAGGCCATTCCCTCTGCTCTCTACAATCATTGGCTTTGAGGGAGTTCCCACTCTTGGACCTTCTAGCCTCGTGAAGATCTACCTGCAACCGAGGGAGCTACCGGATTCTAATTCAGACTGTTTATCCATCTACCGTCTCTTCAGAGATGGCTTTCCAAGGATTGAACGGACGTTTTTTCAGCCACGGCTCTCGGGCTGGTGGAATACATTAGGGGAAGCTGGTGTCTTGGTATCTGGAATGCAGAAGAGGCTGAGCCGCCCTACCCAAAGCTGCAAAATTCAGTTTCGCATTTGGCAAGAAATGCTTTCCAGATCAGACCAAAGGGATCTTGTTTGTTGAGGTCGCTTGCCAAATGCCTCTAAGAAAGCCCATGAAGACATCACAAAGGCAGACCTCAGCCTTGTTTCTCCTTCCTCAATATCTAATTTCAGAGCAACGTTGCCTTGGGATAAAAAAGTCATCTTTGGCCAGCTCATCACTTCTTCATTCTCCTTGATGGATTTCTCCAGTCCCCTTTTACAGCTATCCAGATTGCTGGAGAATGAAATAACGCCTGAAAACCTTTCATAAGTTATTTATCGGCAACCAGAAAAGCTCTTTTCTCTTGGACGGTAAACAAGTTGCTGGCAGCATTGAACCTTTCTGAAAAGGTAACAGGAAGCTGAGCATTGAAAATAAAGCAACGGTGGGAATTCTTGCTTTATGTTCAATGCTCAACTTCTGGACGAGCAAGTAAGGGAGAATGAGGATAGGGGTTTGGTGGGAGAGAAGAGGGAAATTCCTCTTTTGCAATGTGAGTGAAAATACTGACTTAATCTTATAGTAAAGATTGCCGCGGGACATTCACGGGAACGCTTCGGAAAAAAAACTTTCAGAAAAGGTTTGGTTTCTTTTTCCTCTGACCAAACAGGTCCATTTTGCCATTTCTGCGAATTCTGACATTTTCACACTCCATTCCACACGATTTCAGCATTCTTCCATTGTTGCGCAGCAATAATCACGCTGCAGCGACTCTATACAACTCCTATCGCAGCCTCTTATTTGCTTTCAAGGTGTGGTGTGCCCGTGGTTCTGCGGTTTGCTTCTTGCAGACAAGAGCCGCACCCATTTTAACTGGAGCATGACAGTGCCAAGGTTTACAGCTGTCCAGTATTTTTAGGGGGGCTCTGGAGGGAAACTGGGAGACGTGGACTGAACCAGAGGGCAGCCGTCTTCCAAGCGTGGAAGAACAGCACAAGTTGGTAACGGCAGTTTAAATGTTTTCCTGTTGTGCACCCCTTCTGGCTTTCCCTAGATTTTGGGGGACAGGTTGTTGGCATTGTCCCAAACTAGTTGACGTGGTGGCTTTCACTGGTCATGACACCCATTTATCCGGAGGCAAATGTGTGGGGTTGCTCCCTATCGCTTCTTTCGTCCCCCATGATTAGGGTTCCCAGATATCGGAACGGGCAAAGGAGGACAATTGGAAAGGAGGATCAATGGTAGGAAAAGGAGGACCCAGCAACTGTTTAACTTTCTTGGCATCCAGGACCAAAATTACAGCAAAAGAGAAAAAGAACTTAGGCCTACATGAATATGAAATGACATTTTCCAGCATCAGGAAGACGGGTTTTTCCATCACAATATTTTTCCAACAAACCTTTATTTTCAAGAACGTACGCCAGCGATCCTACGGAACCAACATCGACGCGCTTTTCAAATTTCACCCTAGAAATGTAGGACGGGTCGTGCGATCTACGGTGACTGTCGATTTGAAGGGGCTGGATGGAAGCTGATGGCTGGAATCCGGGAATCGATGCTTTAACGTCCGTTTGGCTGTCGAGTCTATTGAGGGAAAGAAAGAAGCCAACGATCTGCGAGGTCGCCATGCACACCAGTTCGAAAGGCTACTGTTGGGAAAAGACACGAAAAAAGCAGGACAATATTTGAAGGGTACACCTGCTGAATGGAGGACAAAAAGGAGAACATGTCCTCCTTTCGCTGGGCATTTGACGACCCTAGTCATGATGCTTTCTACCACCCCCAGTTCCTTTCATTTTTGCTCTGCTTTGTTTTTTCTGGGATGGAGGCAAAATGAGCAAAACACAAGCAAAAAATGTACAAAAGAGTAACAAAGCAAAAGGTCGGAGCAATTGCCAGTACCCTCTACACGTTCTAAGACCGGTGACAGCACCTCTGTGGCGTCCTCGTCCGTAAAGAGGAAGGGACTGACCGAAGTGGTGTTTTGCTTTGCGCCATGCCAGGTTTCCATCTTTAAATTGAAATCGTTAAAAAAAAAATAGGGCAGAAAGTTTAGCAGGTGCATCGGAAAATGTCTGCAGCCACCTTGGTTCCCATGGGGGCCATGCTGCCGGGACTTGCCCTCGGCTCGGATCCAGGTTGGCCCTGGCCACCTGCTCCTGCGTAACTCTGCCTGTTGTTTCGGTCTGGTGGAAAAGCTTTGCTTGGCATGTGGAGGTTATGCCCGCCCCACCTGGAAGCTACAGCTGGTTCCAGATGCAGTGATGCGAGTGTGACGGGCGCTTCTCGTGGTGCCCATGGGTCACCACGGCTGCGTGGGCTGCCAGCTGGCTTCCGGGTGCAATTCAAGGGGCCGGTTGTTCCCTTGAAAGCCCTCCGTGGCACAGGGCCTGGCGATCTGGGTGACCATCTCTCTCCTACTCCTTCTGCCCACCTGGTAGAGTTGGGCTGAGGGGGTGAACTGCAGAGCCCTTCTATTAAATGTGGCATCTGGTGAGACCTAGGAAGCGTGCCTTCTTTGTGATATAATGCAGTTTTTAATCTGGGCTGTTTTGTTCTGTTTTTTCTATGTTTTAATTGTTTTTAATTTAGTATTCAATTTCATCAGACGCCCAGAGTCTGCTGGAACAGGCAGCTATAATAAATGTAATGAAATAAATGAATAAACAGTCTTCCTTGGCTATGGTTCTACAGGTAGTCCTTGACTTAAAACCATAATTGGGACTTCTGTCACTAAGCGATGCAGTGAGTCATGCCCAATTTTATGACCTCTTTTCATGGTTAAGTGAATCATATGGTCATTAAGCAAATCCAGCTTCCCCCATTGACTTTGCTTGTCGAAAGCCCCCTGGGAAGGTTGCCAAGGCAATCATGTGACCCCGGGATGCTGCAACCATCTTAAATATGTGCCGGTTGCCAAGCACCCAAATTCTGATCACGTGGCCCTGGGGACGCTGCGACTATCATAAGTCGCTTTTTTCAGTGCTGTCGTAATTTCAAATTGTTGTTAAATGAACGGTCATAAGTCGAGGACTACCTGTATTCATTTCTGCAACATCGCTATAAAAAACCCAAAAAAACACCCTCTTTTTTGGAGTGCAGAAACCCTCTGCATTGAGAAATGAAATTATGTGATGCTGTTGTAGTACCTCCTTCCCCCTCAAGTTATTTTCCAGGTACTGCCTGGAAGGGAAAGGACTTGTTGTCTGGGAAAGATCAGGTTGGAAAACAGTTTTCTCAAAATTTCAAATCTCCCTTTATTGCCTTTTTGTATTTATTTATGTATTTGCTTGTTAGAGAGAAGCTGAAAGGACAATTTCAGTTTTCTTTTCCTCTAGGAGCTGAAAGAACAATTCAGAGCATTCTCTCCTCCTAATTTTCCCCCACAACAGCCCTGTGAGGTACACTGGGCTGAGAAAAGAGGACTAGCCCCAAACCACCCCAGGTGCTTTTGAAGCCAAGGAGGGACCAGAAGCCAGTTCAACGCTTTAACTCCCACACCATTCTGTCTCTTGCACATAAGTACACCACACTGGGATAGGTGTGCAAAAGCTAGTGTGGTTTAGCAGTTTAAAGAAACATTCTGAATATCTGTAAGGACCAGAAGGAGCATCAAGATCAGTGTTTCTCAACCTTGGGGTCTTTAAGATGGGTGGACTTCAACTCCCAGAATTCCCCAGCCAGCCATGCCTTAAAGTCCCTAAGGTTGAGAAACACTGATCTAAATTGTGGCTGCAAGAATGTGGCTCGGACTTCCTTGGGATGAGTTCCTTGGGCCTTGCAGATACGCAAGGTCCCATTTCCGTCCTTCAAAACTCCGAAGTCAAATTTTAAAGAGCAGCCCTCCACCTGAGTAACATAATTAGCTCCTTTCTTTCGTCTTGCTTGCTTTCCAGGTGGACCAGACCAGGTGGAGGTCAACATTTCTCCCACCGGGGCATTGCCCAATGGCACGCTTTATGCCAAGAGACACGACATCTTGAACTTCACCTGCACTAGCGACTCCTGGCCTGAATCAGCCACCAAGTGGGATTTTAACCCATTTGGCTCTGTGCAGGAGCCATTTACCAAAGTCAACAGCTCGCAGAACACTTTTGTCCTCTACAACATCTCGCCCAGCTACCAAGGGAATTACTCGTGTTTGGCCACCAACTTGTTGAGTCAACGTCAGAGGTCTGTCACGCATGAACTCCTGATCTACTGTACGTATGACGAGGAATACTGGCCGGGGGGGGAGGGTGTCATTTTTCCCCGGGGAATGTTGCATTTCTGGAAATGCTCAGTGCTGTGGCCAGATTCTGCAAAAGAAAAAAAGGAACAGGAAATTCCCAAAGATGTTTTAGAGGGCATGGGAGGAGCATCAGTGGTGGCTAAGCCTTCCTCTTAAGGAATGATTTCTGCAAAGTGGGGTTTTAGATTCCCTGCTGAAATGTTGCATTCATTGACACTCACCCAGCCAATAGTTGGCAGAATGGGGGGGGGGGGGGCCTGGTGAGGTCCCCACTGCTGTGAATGGCCTCTCATTAACACCAGCAAATGGGAAGACGCAGAGGTCTTTTCTGTCCTGGTCAGAGCCGATCCTAGATCCCTACTTGAATGTTTGTCTCTAACGGTCAAAAGTGGGCAACAAAAGTATAAATAACCAAAATCAGTAGATCTCTCCATGGGGCTTGGGGAACCATTGGCTGGCTATCACCCAATCCTTCTCTCTTCAGATCCCCCGCCGTCATCCCCGAAATGTTGGGCTCAGACCTCCGTGGAGAATGCTGAGAAGGCGCTACTGTCATGCAGCTGGCTCGGGGGTTACCCATCCCCGACGCTCCAGTGGATCAACCCGGAGGATCTAGTCATGGATTCTAACACTACCCACGTTGCGGATGCAGCTGTGCTGTCTCTGCAAGGGTCACCCCGCCTTGGGGGCAAGGATTTTGTCTGCCGTGGAAGCCATATTGTGAATGGGGAGGAAAACCAGACCTGCACCTTGCAGTTGGGTGAGTCAAGGATGGGGTTCCCAATTGCACAACGTCATGGTACGTTCCCAGACTCTGAATGGTTAAAGCAGTGTTTCTCAACCTTGGCGACTTGAAGATGCGTGGATGGGGAATTCTGGGAGTTGAAGTCCACACATCTTCAAGTCGCCAAGGTTGAGAAACACTGCTTTAACCATTCAGAGTCTGGGAACGTACCATGACGTTGTGCAATTGGGAACCCCATCCTTGACTCACCCAACTGCAAGGTGCAGGTCTGGTTTTCCTCCCCATTCACAATATGGCTTCCACGGCAGACAAAATCCTTGCCCCCAAGGCGGGGTGACCCTTGCAGAGACAGCACAGCTGCATCCGCAAC